CGAAATGTTTTACGTTGGCTGCGCGCCGTGTGCCGTACGTGGCGACCGAAAGGAAGCTCGATGCATTATATACTCTGTTTCCACCGTGGCTACGAAAACGAGTCACCGACTCGTTACATTAGTCGCGATAACTGTTTCAGAACTGATTGACCGGGCCTTAATGTATAATGCAGCGTATAATATCGTAATAATTGCGCAGGATCGATCTCCACTGACGTGACGTTCGATCACCGGCTTCGTCTCTTTTTTGCTCCATCTCGAGACACGGTTTTTAGGGGATCGAAACGACAACTTCGACTAGATACGCGCTCGCTTTGTTGTCCGTTATTGCCGTTTTTCCCGCGGACCTCCCACTGTCCTTCTAACGAGACCACCAAAGGTATGGCCACTAAAAACCGCGCAAGAAACCTACTAAAGTACGCTCTTTATACGGGATGCTTTATATCGCGGCCAATCCGAGTGAGTGCAGTCGCTCCAATTATGGACGAATATATAAGTCGCTGGCTGTCGGATGCGCGATGCCATTGCGACCCTTTACATGGCAAAAACGATAGAGAGCGCGAAGTCCGTCATCGGGTTCAGGTCGAATTCACTGTGTTCACATCGGCCGTCGCTTGCCATACGTGCAGAGGACAGCATGATCTAGATGCCGTTTTTTTCCCCCAGCGAAGATGCGACGCGAGCGCATTTGCGCCTCCGCCTTTCGCGTTTCTTCGTTCGTTCGTGCGTGCATACACGCGAGTAACTCGCCACGTTCACTCGGCGATTCTTTGGCAAAAAACCAGCGTGCCAGCGCTGATGCTCCCGTCCCGATCCCGTTCTCTCCGCTGCGAAATACACACATTCCGGTAAACCACAACAGGAAGAGGATTCCATTTGTAAAAAGAAGCTAAAAGAGGAAAACGTAGCCGCTTTATCGCGGTTGTTCCTCCGCGAGTCGTGTCGATTATACGAACAGTTCGTTCTTGCCACATCGATCTGCTTCGCGATTTAGTTTCGTTCGATGGAAACCGAAAGGTACAGGGCTTGTGTCCACGAAAGGGGTGAGGTTGTAGAAAGTATGAAAGTTGCAATGGTCAGTGATAGACCAGTTTTTGTTTACGAGAAAGAACCTATTCGAAATTCCTCTCCGTGCACGCGTTCGCTTCGAAGAGAGTTGTCGAGGATTTTTCCAATGCAAAACAATGGCAAGCGTGTCCCGTCGTCCTCGAAATGTTTGGCATTAATGAAATGCACGCGTTATATACGTGCAGGATTCACGGTTACTAAAGAAGCGAGTGTGCGTCCAAAGTAACGTTTCACGTTGGACGAAAGTAAAGGAGGTTTGGCGGAAACCATACATTACATAATGAATTCTTGTACACGCTCGGATAAACGCGTACAATAAAAAAACATTCCCCTGTTGCATTGTCGAGGAATTAATTAAAATGGCGCGAGAACAAACGGGTCGGGAGAATTATAGTGAGGAGGGAGTGAGGGAGGGAAGAAAAGAAGCTCGCGATTCTCGTCGGAATCCCAGCGGCGACATATCACTGGGCGGTAGATCACACGAACTCTTTTTGCAGTTTTGCACCGGGCGGATAAAGCGCTGCAGCGGCTGCAGGATCGCGCATCTTTTACGTATGCACGAGCATAAGCATAACGCAGGGGAACATGGGTAGATGATATCGTGGATGCACCTACGGGGCCACGGGGCGTCGACGCGATTCCTTTGTCCTCGTTCTTGGCCGCTCGTTCTTCTTGCTGCAACCGCTTCGCCCCCGGACGACCTCTTGGTGCACACATTTTGTTCGCGGAAATACCACGGCCAATCTCGTGCATCAATCCTGCCGGGCTTAGAATTGTATCAAAGAACACGCAGCAGCGTGCCGGCTACCGCGGTCAAAAGATTACCATCTCATCTCCGTG